TCCCCTTGCGCAGCAAGGGTGCGGTCACTGAGGTGCTGATCGACTGGATCCGCGAGGCTCGTCTCCAGCTCAGGAAGAGCTTCGGCTCGGACTTTCCTGTTCTGCGTCTGCACTCTGACAGAGGCGGAGAGTTCTCTTCTCGCCTTCTGCGAGACTACTGTCGTGCACGGGGGATCCGCCAGACCTTCACGCTTCCGGACTCACCACAGCAAAATGGGATTGCTGAGCGCCGCATTGGCATGGTCATGGATGTCGCTCGTACGTCCATGATGCATGCGGCTGCCCCCCATTTTCTGTGGCCGTTTGCTGTGAGGTACGCGGCACATCAGCTCAACCTTCACCCCCGGGTCTCTCGGCCTGCGATGTCCCCAGTCTTGCTGTGGACAAGGAAGGTTGGCGATGCGTCTGTGTTCCGTGTCTGGGGATCTCGGGCGTTTGTCCGCGACTTGTCTGCAGACAAGCTGTCCCCCCGTGCTGCTCCCTGTGTCTTCCTTGGCTTCCCCACTGACGCCCCAGGGTGGCAGTTTTACCACCCCTCCTCTCGTCGTGTTCTGTCCTCCCAGGACGTCACGTTCGACGAGTCAGTCCCCTTCTACCGTCTCTTCCCCTACCACACTCCTTCCCTCCCCCCTCCCCCGGACTTCCTTGTGCCGGTTCCCCCCCCGGTCGACCCCCTCCCCCCTCAGGTTCCTGCCCCCTCAGGTGTGTCCCAAGTAGACGCCGTTGACCCGGTCGAGGTTACTGGTGACTCTGGTGCTGCTGCGGGTGCTGAGCCTGGGGGTGCTGACTCTGGGGGTGCTGACCCTGAGGGTGCGGGGCCTGGGGGTGCCACTGCTGGGGGTGCTAGGCCTGGGGGTGCTACTGCGGTGGGTGCGGAGCCTGGGGGTGCTGAGCCTGGGGGTGCTGTGCCTGGAGGTGCTGAGTCTGGGGGTGCTGAGCTACGAGCTGCTGGGCCTGAGGGTACTGAGTTGGGAGGTGCTGAGCCTGAGGGTGCTGCGCCTAGAGTTGCTGAGCCTGGGGTTTCTCCTGCTGCTGCGTCTCGCCGGGAGCCCCTCTCTCCACCGGAGCTGCGCGAGTGGTTCGCTCGCCGCTGGAGGCGTGCTGCTGAGTCTGGAGGTGCTGCTGGAGCTGGAGCTGGAGCTTCTTCGACCGTCGAGGGTGCGGGTGCTGCCGGTCCCGGAGCTGCTGGACCTACTGGTCCTCCTGGAGCTGGAGCTGCTGAGGGCGTTGGTGCTGAGCCTGCTGCTGTTGGACCTGCCGCTGGAGGTGTGGGTGGCGCTGGTGCTGTCGCTGAGGGTGCTGGTACTGTCCCTGCTGAGTCTGGAGCTGCCGCGCGGCCTCGGCCGTACTTCGTTCCGCTCCTGCAGCAGGTTCTTGGTCTTTCTCCTCCTGTAGAGGGTCCACCGCCTGTCCAGTCGCAGTCCCTACTGGAGCCTTCCTCTCCGCTGCCTGCTCCCTCTCCTTACACTGGTCCTACTGGAGGTCTTGCTGAGCGTCGTGAGCCTGCGTCTCGTCCCGCGTCGCCTGTTCGTGCTGCTCGCGCTAGTGGTCGCAGTTCGCGTCAGCGTCCTCCTCCTGTCCCTGGCACGCACCGGATGTCTCTGCGTCCGTCCACTGCTCCTCTGCGTGCCCCTTTGCCTTCTCCTCCTGAGTCCTCTCTTCCTGCGCTTGCCGACCCTGAGTCGGACTCTCTTCGCGCTGCCAGTCCTACTGTCACGCGTCTGCTTGCTACTGTCGTCACTGACCCCTCGTTTGAGTCCACTGCTGCGTCTGCTCTGGTCGCTGAGCTCGTTGACTTTGCTGCTCGCTGTCGTCTCGACTACGCTGCTAGTCTTGTTGCTGAGTCTGTGTCTGGCTGTCCTCCGTCCGTCGGGGGTGAGTGTGCTCTTGGCACGGACGTCCTAGAGGACAGGCAGGAGGAGTTACAGTGTCTAGCGGCTGCTTCACCTCATCTCGCGTCTGTACTGCTTGCCCCTGAGGGAGACCCGGATGCACTAGACATCCCGACTCCGCGTTCTTACGCGGAGGCCGTAGAGGGTCCCTACTCCTCTCAGTGGCAGGCAGCTATGGATGCAGAGATGGCTTCCTGGAAGTCCACAGGCACCTACGTTGACGCAGTTCCCCCTCCTGGGACGAACATCGTCAGTGGCATGTGGATCTTCAGGGTGAAGCGACCGCCGGGCTCTCCACCTGTCTTCAAGGCACGGTACGTTGCTCGTGGCTTCAGTCAGCGGCAGGGAGTTGACTACTTTCAGACCTTCTCTCCCACCCCGAAGATGACCACTCTTCGGGTGCTGCTGCACATAGCCGCTCAGCGCGACTACGAGCTTCACTCTCTCGACTTCAGCACTGCGTTCCTGCAGGGTAGCCTGCACGAGGAGATCTGGCTGCGCCGTCCGCCTGGCTTCACTGGGACTTTCCCTCCTGGCACCCAGTGGAGCCTCCGACGGCCAGTCTACGGTCTCCGCCAGGCACCGCGTGAGTGGCACGACACACTGAGGACTACGCTTGCGGCTCTTGGGTTTGCTCCTTCTACTGCTGACCCGTCGCTGTTTCTTCGCACCGACGCTTCCCTGCCGCCGTTCTACATCCTCGTGTACGTCGACGACTTGGTCTTTGCCACAGCGGACACTGCTGGACTCGCCTACGTGAAGTCCGAGCTGCTGAAGAGACACACGTGCACAGACCTAGGTGAACTGCGCAGCTACCTTGGCTTGCAGATCACTCGGGACAGAGCACGCCGCACCATCACCTTGACTCAGTCACACATGGTGCAGCAGGTCCTTCAGCGCTTCGGCTTCACGTACTCCTCGCCTCAGGCCACTCCTCTGCCTACTCGCCACTCACTCTCAGCTCTGCCTTCGGATGAGTCCGTAGAGTCGAGTGGTCCGTATGCAGAGCTTGTTGGCTGCCTCATGTACCTGATGACCTGCATTCGACCCGACCTCGCATACCCTCTGAGCATCCTTGCACGCTATGTTGCTCCTGGGAGACACCGACCAGAGCACATGGCTGCAGCGAAGAGGGTATTGCGCTACCTGTGCAGTACGTCAGGCATGGGGCTAGTGCTTGGAGGGCGCAGTCCAGTGGTCCTTACAGGCCACGCGGACGCTTCTTGGGCTGACGACCAGGCTACGCAGCGGTCGTCACAGGGTTACACCTTCAGCCTTGGTTCCGGCTCTGTCTCGTGGCGGTCTACTCGCTCGTCTTCGGTTCTCGGCTCCAGTTGTGAGGCTGAGATCTACGCCGGGGCCATGGCTGCACAGGAGCTTCGCTGGCTCACCTACCTGCTGACTGACCTTGGAGAGCCGCCTCGTTCTCCTCCAGTGCTGTACGTAGACAACAAGGCCATGCTGGCCTTGTGTCGAGAGCAGCGCTTGGAGCACAGAACGAAGCACATTGCTCTCCGCTACTTCCTTGCTCGTGAGCTGCAGCAGCGTGGTCAGTTGCGACTTGCGTACGTGGCCTCTGAGGCCAACACTGCTGATGTGTTCACCAAGGCACTGGCGCCTTGTGACCATCAGCGCTGTTGTACCCAGCTGGGTCTTGTGCCTGTCTTGCCTCACTTGCTCTCTTCTTGACTTTACTTGTACTGTGACATATATATACCTGCTCTTGCTTGTCTTGCTTTATATATATGTCTGTACTCTTGCATGTGAACTGGCCTTTGGCCTTGCTCTTGTGCTCGGACTGTGTGGTGACTTTGTGATCCACCCCGAGCTTGCTTTGCTTTGCTTGACTGGTCTTGTGACCCCTTGTTCTCCCCCACTTTGCCTATGGGGGTGTGTCAGAACATATAGCTTACCTGTTTGTGTAGGCTACAGTGGGGTATCCCATAAGGGGTACAACACAATTAGGTTTCCCATTTTGTACCAATTTCTGACTTAGTCATTTCATTCCTGTTTACCTATCTTCACACCCTGTTCAGTGCTTTGCAATCTATGCACATGCGAAATCCCCCGTCCTTTTTCGGCGTGAACAATATCGGTGCTGCGAAGGGCGACGAACTAGGGGGAATGAATTCCTTCTCGAGCAGATGTGAGAATATATCTGTAACTGCCTGTAGCTGTAGTTAGTGTAGTTATTATAAACTTTGTTTGGTGGTGCACCTTCTTTGTTTCCTTTGCTATATGTTCTTGCAAACCTATAGTGAAGCCACTCTTTCTCCTTTCCAACTTTCTCGACACTCTCCTCAACCCTAAACTCGATCTCTAAGAACCTAACTAAACTATGGCTCCTAAGCCCGCCTATGCTTAGTATCTCAACATGGTTTCAGAGCACATATGCTCCTGGCCTGTGGGCCCTACTACTGCTTCCGCTGCTACTCGATTTGTCGCACGCTCGGTGGCGTGCGCCAACGGCGCGCGGCGATTTTCTCTCTGGCGCGCGCCCCGAGGCGCGCGGCCCCGTTCCTCCTTGGCGCACGGCGATTTTCTGCCCGCCGTGTGCTCGGGGCGCACGGCGGGCAGCGCGGCGTCTTCCTGCCCCGCGCGTGGTTTGCCCTCACGCCGCCTGCGCGCCTGCCTCACGTCCACGCACGGGCCTGTCTTGCCCGCCCGTACCCTCCACTTCGCGACGCACCTGCGGGACCCGGGTGTCGCCGCTCCTGCTCGTCGCGACGCCCCTGCAGGACCCGCATGGCGTCGCCTTGCTCGTCGTGACGCCACTGCGGGACCCGCGGGGCGTCGCCACTGCTCGTCGCGGCGCCCCCTGGACGCCACTCCTGCTCGTCGCGGCGCCCCTGGGGCATTGCCCCTACTCGTAGCGGCACCCCTTGGGCGCCGTTCCTACTCGTCGCGGCGCCCTCCCCCCCTGGCCACCGCCTCTGCCTCACCTGCGCCTGCGCTAGCGTTGCAGCCGCGCGCGGGCCTACCTTGCACCAGCGCCGCCCCTGGAGCAGCCGCCCCTGGACCTCAGCAGCCGCTCCTGGACCTCAGCAGCCGCCCTTGGACCCCACGAGCTGCCCCACCAGCAGCCCACGGCGCCGACCCTACAGCTGTATGCGCCGCCGCTCGTGGACTCGGTACGGCTGCCTGCCTGTGCTGCCTGTTGCTGCCTGTTGCTGCCCGTGCCTGTGCTGCCCGTTGCCGCCCGTTGCTGCCCGTGCCTGTGCTGCCTGTTGCCGCCCGTTGCTGCCCGTGCCTGTGCTGCCTGTTGCTGCCCGTGCCTGTGCTGCCTGTTGCCGCCCGTTGCTGCCTGTGCCTGTGCTGCCCGTTGCTGCCTGTTGCTGCCCGTGCCTGTGCTGCCCGTGCCTGTGCTGCCTGTTGCCGCCCGTTGCTGCCCGAGCCTGTGCTGCCTGTTGCTGCCTGTTGCTGCCCGTGCCTGTGCTGCCCGTTGCTGCCCGTTGCTGCCTGTGCTTGTGCTGCCCGTTGCCGCCCGTTGCTGCCCGTGCCTGTGCTGCCCGTTGCCGCCCGTTGCTGCCCGTGCCTGTGCTGCCCGTTGCCGCCCGTTGCTGCCCGTGCTTGTGCTGCCTGTTGCCGCTCTGCTGCTGTCCGCGCCCTTGTGCGCTCTGGTCTGCCTGCGCCCTCGTGCGCTCTTCTGCTGCCCGCGCCCTCGTGCGCCCTGCTGCTACCCGCGCCCTCGTGCGCTCTGTTCTGCTCTGTCGCCCTTGCCCCCCCCCCCCCCTCCCCGCCCCCCTTCTTCGTCTCCTTGCTGCGCGTGCAGCCGTGGAACGGAGGCTATGGGGGTGGCGGGTATGGGGGTGATGGGTGTGTGTGATCCCCTTCCCCTCCTCCTCCTTTCTCTCCCACTGCTGCAGCTGCCGCTGGGGGGGGGTGGGTGTGAGGGTGTGGGGGAGCTGGGGGAGAGGTGCTAGGGTTGTCAAGGAGTGTGGAAGGGGGAGTTGGAGGACTGAGGAAGGTTCCAAGAAGCAGCTGCCTTGGAGCCAGCAGCTTCACCTGCCAGCAGCCTCTCCTCATATAGTCCCTCCTCCTCACTTGCCCTCTCCTTCTACTGCGCTTGGTGTACCCCTTCAGGGGGTGTCTCTGCATTAGCTTCTACTGCAGGCAGTTATGGGGGAGTGTGAGAATATATCTGTAACTGCCTGTAGCTGTAGTTAGTGTAGTTATTATAAACTTTGTTTGGTGGTGCACCTTCTTTGTTTCCTTTGCTATATGTTCTTGCAAACCTATAGTGAAGCCACTCTTTCTCCTTTCCAACTTTCTCGACACTCTCCTCAACCCTAAACTCGATCCCTAAGAACCTAACTAAACTATGGCTCCTAAGCCCACCTATGCTTAGTATCTCAACAGCAGATAATCTAGTTGCTTCCTCAGTTCGTCCAGTTCGGGTTGGGTCAGTCGGAACTGTCGCTGTACTGTCGGTTGTGCCCCCAAGTCTAGTTCTATCCTGTGGTCGTGCGGTCGTTGAGGTGGCAGTCCCGTCGATAAGTCGTCCGGGAAGATGTCGCTGTACTGCTTCAACAGTGCTGCCAGATCACTCGGTACGTCGGCTAGCAGTTTCTGTAAATCCCCTCCTTGTCTGCTACCTTGGCTTCCCGAATGTCAACCGCGTACACGGCAGCTCCTGCCGCTACGGTGCGTTTCATCGTGATCGCGTTAACACGGACCGACGATGACTCAAGCGAGCCCCAGCGAGGTAAGGCGATGTTGTTACCGTTCACTCGCACAGGCAGTCACCCGTCGTCTAGACGATTCGCGGATTGTTTAGTCGCAGCCAATCATGCCCGAGTAAAGACGGCACGTATCGTAGCGCCCTCGTTCGTCCCACGAGGCCAATGTCCCCAATTGCTGCTTACGTAGGACCCGAGTCTCGGTCGGCGTAAGAAATCAACTTTCTCCGCCATGGCGAGAATCTCCTGAAAATCGGTGACGCCGCGAGGCTGGATTTCCTGAGCGATGTCCTGCTTCAGGCCGCCGATGTAGCGGTCGATGCGCTCGCTCTCATGCATATATCCCACCTGCTCGCATAGCGCAAGAAACCCGCTCGAGTAGTCTTGGACAGAACTGAGTTGGCGCCAAGTGCGGAGCCTCTGTCGCGCCGCAATCGAGGCCGCAATTGGCTCGAAACGAGCGTGCAGACCTGCGCACCATGCGTCCCACGTGCAATACTGGGGCACCTCCACGAAATACGACGGCGCCCAAGGTCCGGTTTGTCCTTCCCGTGTCGGTAGAGTCGCGTAGTCCACCGGCTTCGTGACGATGACACGCCACCAGTCCATGGCGGATCCTCGCAGCAACGGCACGGCGTAACGAATCTTCGCCGTATCCTCCGAGACGTAGTTTGCGTCGAAGAAAACGTTCAGCATGAAGAGCCACGCCTGAACGGTAGGACCACCCCGCTGACTTGGGTCGAAACATGGCGGACGCTGCGGCTTTAGCAGCATCTGCGACGGAAGAGTTGATTCGCCGACCGGCATTGAAATCGTGACTCGAGGCTGATTCCTGGCCGCATTCGTCGTGTCGGGGTGTGTCGTGCCGTGGTCGTCGTCTCCGTCATGGCAACCGACGCCATCACTTGCGCCGCTCACGGGTTGCCCCACACTTCCGTGTTGTGATGCCTGTGGTGTGGGCTGAATCGGAGTGCCAGGTGCTTGGGATTGTGTTCGTGCGAGGTCGTTTTGCAGGGACGAGCGTTCTGCCGTCAGTGTCGCGATTTCCTCGGCGCTCTCGCGGATTTGTCACAGCAGATCGTTCAAGTGCTCCTACGTGAGAGTCGTGACGTCGATATGCTCAACCATTTTGAAGGGCGTCAACTCATCTTAGTCTAGGTGCAGTCGTGGCTATACGCGTTTACGAGAGAACGCGAGAACAGCGGCTCCTAGGTGCTAAGGTACGTGAGTCCCTTTGAGTGAAAAATCAAAAGTTGATTTCCTGGGGTGCGGAGATGCATGGTCCGAAAAGGAAAGAGGCTCTGAATACCAAGCGTTACGGGTGCTATGAATCGAAGTAGCGAGAATTGCACTAAGGAGTCAAACAAGTACAAAATGTGAGCGAAGGCGTGAGCGAACATTTATACGCGAAACATGCAAACGGTAACGCGGTGCGTGCGAGCTACCTAGTGCTACGCTGGAAGCGAGGCTCGTGCTAGTCTCGAAGCGTAGGCCGACACGGCCAGGCCAGCAGTGCAAGGTTTGGTGAAACAGTGCACGCGAAGTCGGCGAAGCCCCGTTAGCAGTAACGGGCGAACAACGGCTGCTGCTGTACGCGATGTTGGAGGGTGCGCTAAGCAATATCGAGAAAATTCCATACAACGCGTAAGAGATGCCTCAGTAAGGAATTAGCGAAATTCCTTACACTACCCCCCCCCCACCCCCTTAAGAAAGGTGGTCAATATCAGGCACGTGTCGGCGGGAAAGATAATCCCGAAGTATCGAGTGGCCTTGTAGTGAGTCAACCGGGACCCACGTGTCATCTTCACTTGCGCGTGTCAGGCATATATGCTATAGTCTGTGTAGGCTGTAGTGGGGCAGTTCATATGGGGAACAGCACTTTAGGGTTTCCTACTTGTACTCCCCTTTCTACTCAATGCATTCATTCTCGTTTCTCGTCATGGTATCGAGCAGGTTCCCTAGTGGGAACGCTACCTAGGGCCCACCACGATACTTTTTTTTTTCCTGCCCGGAGTGCGCTTCACTCCTGCCCGAGTCACGCTCTGTCTGCCCTCCCTACCTTCAAGCCGCGCTGAGTGGCCCCTCTCACGGCCCCTTTGGCCGCCCTTACAGCCCCTCGTGCCGCCCTTACGACCCCTCGCGCCGCCCTCTACGGCCCCTCGCGCCGCCCTTACAGCCCCTTAAGGCCCCTCGCGTTGCCCTAACGGCCCTAGCGCGGCCCCTTTCGGCCCCTCGCTGCGCCCTTTCCGGCCCCTTACGGCCCCATCGCCGCCCAGTTTAAGCCTCTTGCGGCCCCTCTTCGGCCCCGTCTAGGCCCCCTTGCGACCCCTCTACGGCCCTGCCTAGGCCCCTTACGGCCTCTTACGGCCCCTCCGCGGCCCCGTCTAGGCCCCTTGCGGCCCCGTCGCCGCCACCTGCGGCCCCGTCGCCACCACCTGCGGCCCCGTCGCCACCGCCTGCGGCTCCGTCGCCGCCACCTGCGGCCACGCCGCCACCACCTGCAGCCTCGCCGCCACCTACGGCCCCGTTGCCGCCACCTACGGCCCCGTTGCCGCCACCAGCGGCCCCGTCGCCGCCACCTGCGGCCACGCAACCGCCACCTGCGGCCCCGCCGCCACCTGCGGCCCCGTCGCCGCCACCTGCGGCCTCGTCGCCGCCACCTACGGCCCCGTCGCCGTCACGTGCGGCCCCGTCGCCCTCCCCTAGCGGCCCTGTCACCGCTCAGCCGCCCAGCGACCGAGCCGCCCACCTGCCGAGCAGCCAAGCCGCCCAACAACCAAGCCGCCCAGCAGCCGAGCCGCAGAGCAGCCGAGCCGCCCTGCCGCCGAGCCGCCCTGCTGTCGAGCCGCTGCTGTTCCTACCGGTGCTCCCCGGCCCTCCTTCCTCAGACTGGTGAGCTCACTTCCTACTAGGCCGCTGCAGTCATGGCTACCCCCAGTGTCCTTAATTTTGGTGCTGAGGGCCGTGCCGTTGAATTTGAGGTTTAGGTCGATGAACTCCAACTGTTTCTCCCGTGCGATAGGGCACACAGACTCTCTCTGTTCGATCTCACCTCTGGTGTCTCTCCTGCCCCGCCTGCTACTGCTGACAGCACTGTTCGCTCACAATGGGCCACACGCAATGCTGCTGCTCGCCTTGCTGTGCGTCGCCACTTACCGACCACTGAGCGTGCACACTTTAGCCAGTACAAGAGTGCTCAGACCTTGTACGATGTTGTAATTGCACGCTACTCTTCCCCTGCCACTACTGCACTGAGCCGCCTCATGCTACCGTACCTCTTTCCTGACCTTGCTCCCTTTCCCCCTGTCGCTGACCTCATTACGCACCTCCGCACTAGTGACACTCGCTACCGCGTTGCGCTTCCTGCTGAGTTTTGCGCCAAGAACCCCCCCCCCCCCCCCCCCAATGTACATCACCCTCTACTACATAATCACCCGGCTCCCTGACTCTCTTTGCGTAGTCAGGGACCACTTCCTCTCAGTTTGCCCCACCAATCTGGTCAGTTTGCTGCAGCGTCCAGGTCTGGTCCTGAGTCTGCTCCCTGCTCGTGTCGTCTACTGTCCCACCATACTCTCCTTTGGCACCACCGCCTTGGTCACCCCTCCTTGCCTCGTCTCCAAGGCATGGCCTTCCGTGTCCTTGTCTCTGGTCTCCCTCGGTCTCTCCCTCCCCTACCTCCAGGGCCTGGCCCTACTTGCGTTCCCTGCGTTGAGGGGCGACAGCGCGCCGCCCTTCACTCCTCCGAGTTTCCTCCGATAGACGCTCCGCTGCAGACTCTCCACATGGACGTGTGGGGCCCAGCCCGCGTCAAAGGGCAGGGGCGTGAGCGGTACTTCCTACTGGTGGTTAATGACTACTCGCGTTACACCATAGTCTTCCCCTTGCGCAGCAAGGGTGACGTCACTGAGGTGTTGATCGACTGGATCCGCGCAGCTCGTCTCTAGCTCAGGGAGAGTTTCCGCTCGGACTTTCCTGTTCTGCGTCTGCACTCGGACAGAGGCGGGGAGTTTTCCTCTGCCCATCTGGGAGCCTTCTGTCAGAACATATAGCTTTTGCATATTGTGTAGGCTATAGTGGGGTAGCCCATATGGGGTACACATTTCTAGGGTTGCATATTTGCATCACTTTCATTCCTTAGTCAATCATTCTCGTTCAACTCTTCTCATGGTATCGAGCAGGTTCCCCTGTGGGAACTGCGCCTAGGGCCCACCACTTCGAAAATATTTTTTTTTACTGCCCGAAGCGCGCTCATCCCGAGTCGCGCCTCGGGCTATTAACTCGACGAGCCGCCCTAGCAGCCTTCCCTCCCCTAGCGGCCCTGCCGCCCTACTGTCGCGGCCCCGCCGCCCTTCATTTGCAGCCCCGCCGCCCTACTGTCGCGGCCCCGCCGCCCTACACTACCGGCCTCGCCGCCCTGCTTTAGCGGCCCCGCCGCCCCGCCCTACTGTCGCGGCCCCGCCGCCCCCGATTCGCGGCCCCGCCGCCCTGCTTTAGCGGCCCCGCCGCCCTGCTTTAGCGGCCCCGCCGCCCTACACTTCGCGGCCCCGCCGCCCTGCTTTAGCGGCCCCGCCGCCCTACTTTAGCGACCCCGCCGCCCTACACTTCGCGACCCCGCCGCCCTGCTTTAGCGGCCCCGCCGCCCTACATTTCGCGGCCCCGCCGCCCTGCTTTAGCGGCCCCGCCGCCCTGCTTTAGCGGCCCCGCCGCCCTTCTTTAGCGGCCCCGCCGCCCTACTTTCGCGGCCCCGCCGCCCCACATCGCGGCCCCGACGCCCTACACCTGCGGCCCCGCCGCCCTACTGTCACGGCCCCGCCGCCCTGCTGTTGCGGCCCCGCAGCCCGTCTACTGCGGCCCCACCGCCCGGCACCTGTGGCCCCGCCGCCCTACTTCACGGGCCCCGCCGCCCGACTCTACCGGCCCCGCCGCCCTTCTGCTGCGGCCCCGCCGCCCTACACCTGGGGCCCCGCTGCCCGTCTGCTGCGGCCCTGCCGCTCTCCCCTCCTGCCGCGCCACCCGAGCCGCCGACCGCCGCACCACCCTGCACCGTGCACCCGAGCAGCCGACCGCCGCGCCGCCCAGTACCGGAGGAGCCGAGCTGCCCAGCCGCCGAGCCGCCTGGCCGCCCACCAGCCGAGCCGCCGTGCAACCGAGCCGCCCAGCAGCCAAGCCGCTGTGCAGCCGAGCCGCCCAGCAGCCGAGCCGCCAAGCCGCCGAGCCGCCCAGCCGCCGAGCCGCCCTACAGCCGAGCCGCCCGACCTGCCCTGTTCGGTGAGCACAGCCCCACTATCACTGCGTGCCCTTCCCATACTGCTTGCACTGCTAGTCTATCATCGTCATGGCTACCCCTAGTGTCCTCGCTTTTGACGCTGAGGGTCGAGCCATTGACTTTGAGGTCTGGGTCGACGACCTGCAGCTGTTCTTACAGTGCGATAGGGCGGACGGTCTTTCTCTCTTTGACCTTACCTCTGGCGCCTCTCCTGCCCCTGCTGCTGATGCTGACCCCACTGTTCGCTCTCAGTGGGCCACCCGCGATGCTGCTGCACGTCTTGCTGTGCGTCGCCACTTGCCTACCACTGAGCGCGCGCACTTTAGTCAGTACAAGAGTGCTCAGACCTTGTACGATGCTGTAGTTGCGCGCTACTCTTCCCCTGCCACTGCTGCACTGAGCCGCCTCATGCTACCGTACCTCTTTCCTGACCTTGCTGCCTTTCCCACAGTCGCTGACCTCATTACGCACCTCCGCACTAGTCACACTCGCTACCGCGCTGCGCTTCCTGCTGAGTTCTGCGCTAAGAACCCTCCCCCCATGTACATCACTCTCTATTACATAGTCACACGCCTCCCTGACTCCCTTCGCGTAGTCAGGGACCACTTCCTCTCAGTCTGTCCCACCACTCTCACTGTTGACCTCCTCGAGAAGGCCCTCCTGGCGGCGGAGAAGAGCATCGTCGCTGTCGGAGCCTCTCGTGGTGACCCTCGCACCCCCATCTTTGAGGGGTGTTCTCCTTCCCCCCTGCTGCCCTCTGCTGCCTCTGTTGATGCTGCCGACCTGCTTGGTCTTGAGTCGGTCGGCGCGGCGTCTGCCCCTAGCGGGAGACGCCGCCCTGGCAAGGGCAAGGGGGGCAAGGGCGCGGGTGGAGCTGGCGGGGGCGGTGGAGGTGGCAGTGGAGGCGGCAGAGGGAGTGGGGGTGGCGGTGGGAGTGGTGGCGGGGGTGGTGGTGGTGGTGGCGGTAGCGGAGGCGGAGGCAGTGGCGGCGGCAACGGTGGGAGCGGAGGCGGCGGTGGTGGCGGAGGTGGAGGCGGCGGTGGCGGAGGGGGTGGAGCTGGTCGAGGTGGTGCACCGCAGCGGAGCGGCTCTGGTGGTGGTCAGCGCCTGCAGCAGCAGCAGCAGCAACAGCAGCGTTCTCGGGACATCCCCCCGCCTCAGCAGCTCCATGAGTGGTACACGCAGCGTCAGCGTGGTGGGGGTTTTGGTCCGTGCACCTACGTCCTTCGTTCCGGCGACCGCGTGGGTGAGCAGTGTGGGGGTGCCCACCCCACCCAGCGCTGCTTTGGCCGCCTGACGGACGCTTGGCGTCAGCAGTTCCCTGAGGCTAGTGAGATTCCCCGCTGGGGAGAGCTGTCTAGGGCTGGCGTAGCTATCTTTGATCTTGACTTTGATGCTATCCTTGCTGCCATGTATGCTGTGACTATTAGTGATGAGGGTGACTGTTACCGGTGTTTCCCGCCCGACCCGGCCATTGGTACTGCTGCGCTAGGTGCTTGTGAGGCTGCTGCTCTAGGTGCCAGTGCATCTGCACTCTCAGGTACTGGTGAGGCTGCGCTCTCAGGTACTGCGTCGGCTTCGGCCTCCCTCACATTCACACTTGACTCCGGGGCTTCTCGCTCCTTCTTTCGAGACCGCACCACACTCACGCCGCTTGGTCGGCCGGTTGCAGTCTCCCTGGCTGACCCCTCTGGGGGTCCTGTCCTCTCTCACTTCTCCACTGTCCTCCCGTGTCCGGCTGCCCCCTCGGGCACCCTGTCTGGTCTGTACCTCCCCTCGTTCTTGACGAACTTAGTGAGTGGTGCTGACCTGCAGGATGCGGGGGTTCACCAGTTTACTCCTGCGAGTTAGCAGGTGACCCACTGCTCGGACGCCCGCACAGACCGACACCTGGCCACGTTTTCGCGTCGGCCGGGGTCGAGTCTCTACACCCTGACCACTGAGTCCCCTCCTGTCCCTGCGTCTGGCCAGGTAGCTGCGTCGGGTCAGGTTTTTGCTGCTGCGTCCAGGTCTAGTCCTGAGTCTGCCCCCTGCTCGTGTCGCCTCCTGTCTCACGAGACTCTCCTGTGGCACCAGCGTCTTGGCCACCCCTCCCTGCCTCGTCTTTGGGGCATGGCTTCCCGTGTCCTTGTCTCTGGTCTGTCTTCCCCAGTCCCTCCCTCCCCTTCGTTCTGGGCCTGGTCCTTCCTGTGTCCCCTGTGTCGAGGGGCGCCTCCGGGCTGCCCCTCCTCTCAGTTTCCCCCGACAGAGGCTCCGCTGCAGACGCTTCACATGGACGTGTGGGGCTCGGCCCGCGTCCGTGGACAGGGTCACGAGCGCTACTTCCTGCTGGTGGTTGACGACTACTCGCGTTACACCACGGTCTTCCCCTTGCGCAGCAAGGGTGATGTCACTGAGGTGTTGATCGACTGGATCCGCGCAGCTCGTCTCCAGCTCAGGA